TGGGAGAGCAAGCATTGCACTGGTGAAAAATACCATGATGGGATGAGACCATTAGTGTGGATGTCTGAGTTTTGAAGATTTATAAGTATCTAAAATGTATTTAATAGGTTGTTTTGATATTGTAATGGTTCATCTGTAAAGGTAATAGGTTGGTAGCATAGTTTTGATGCTTTGACACCTTACAGTAGAGTGATGACATAAATTTCCTCCATCACATACCTCTGCAGTATTTTGTCTGAAGCCCCACTTGTTTTTGGTGGAAAGCATTTAGAGTTTTGTTCTTTCACATTTGCATAGAGTGAAGACAAATGTGGTTTTAATCTGTCACTTCCAGTAACTAAATTGGCAAATAGGAAAGCTACAGATAAAGACAAAGTGAGGCTGAAAGAAGATAGTTGAAAATAGTTGAAGAAATGGCCAAAGAATTGGGGAAAAGATAAGTGCTTCTAACAGATGGAGAGGAGGAGACAAACAGATGAAAATAGGTCTTGCAGTGCTGGCTCATTGGAGTGGCTGGGAGGCAGAGGGGAACAGGATGACAGAGAGAGAGATGGGGGCAGGGGTAAAAGGGCTGGGGGGAGAGCCAGAGAATAAAGCAGTAGCTGAAAAACAGGAATTCATGGGGTCAGTGGTGTGAACCCCTCTTCCTGTTGTCCACTAAACGTCTGGTGATTGGTTCCAGGATTCATTTAACAGGAGTGAGGCAGTTCTAGCTGTGTGTGCAACCATGTCTAATTTTCATGCACAGATCCCCCTTTCTGTGCACCCAGAGAGCAAAGGAAGGCTAGCCAGAATTCACAGACAGCCCATTTAGTGGTTTAATGCAAAGGAAGCACTATCAGGGATAGAAAACGGCTGACAGTGCTCTTACCAGGATTAAGATTTTTTGTGGAATTTAATGGGGAGAGCAGTGGTTTTCTTCTTAATCCATGCAACTTCAGGATTCATTCTGTTTGTTTCAAGTTTATTGTAGAGCTGATGACTGAAAGTTGTTATTGTTTCTGTGGTATTTTGGATGTTTACCTTCTGTGCCTGCTTAATATCTATGAAATTCTTCATTATCTCATGACACAGACTCTGTGCTGAATTGGGTTGCTTCTGAGCTCAGCAGGGTACCATCTGTCTCCCTGCTCTAGTGACACGTGTGCAATGAGGACAACAGAGGAAAAGAAATAGAAGGATAGATAAAGGAAAGGAAAATAGCCTTACGCACGTGTGCCACAGTGACAGACGGAGGAGGGAATAATGGCTTTAGAACAGCAGCCATCACTGTGGGTGTTTATGTGCGTGTGTGTGATTGTGTGAAGCATCAGGCATGAGGAGCCCTCCAGTACTGTGTAATTTTAGCAGGACCCTGGGGCATTAGTGATTTTTCCACTGCCCTTTTTTTGTATCTACTATTCATTTGCATTGTACTCTTCTGGTACACTCTGTGTAACCATGTGCAAACACAAAGTATAGGAAAAATACTAGTGAAGGTTTTTCTCAGAAGCATTGGTAAATAAATTAAAGACCTTTGGTTCCAGTTGGACTATAACATGAAAGTATTTGCCTTCAAGAACAATGTTTGCAGTATCAAGGAAGCTTTTAAATTCAGGAATATGCCATTTCATATTCATGTCTTTGTCTAAGTCTTTGCCTTTTTCATGTTTTCAGTTTATCACTTTTCTCATGATCGGAATATTCCTATGACAATGAGCTGGCTTTTCAGTCTTTGGGAGTTTATAAGGGATGATGTTTTATGGATGATGTAGCTGAGACAAACTGGCTCATGCAGTGGAGCTATCCTCAGGGGTTTTGTCAGCTGAGTCATGATGTTTGTTTAAGGAAGAGGAATATTAAAATCAAGCACCGCACACTGTGCTTTTCTCTTGTGTCCGTGCTAAGCTTTGCCCTTATAATGACTTCAGTGTAATGGATCCAGCATTTTAGAGGTTAAACGTCCTGGTTTCCACAAGCATGATCAATACGTAGTGCTAAAAAAACACTGTATTTGGAGGGGGTGAATGTGTAGCACTCTATGTGCTGAAGGTTGTATGGTGTAGTGTGTGTGTTTGTGTGCTAAAGATTACCAAAGCCACAGAACATAACTTCCTCTTTCCAGGCAGAGCACCAGGTGCATTGCAGTCACAGTTCTTTTAACACCAAATATAATTTGTGTGCATGTTAGGAAACTGGATCTTCCACAAAGAGAACCAGGTAGATTTGAATGTGTGAATGAAGTGTGTGCACGTCCTGTATTGTTCACAGAGAAAGAAAAGAGTGATATATTGATTTCCCTTTGTACACCAACATGTGTGTATCGTGATAGGTATAGTAAACCAGATATTTTAGCAAAGCTAACACTCGTGCTTACAAACATGCTGGATGGAGTCAGCTTTCAGCTTCAAGTTATAAGAGAAACAGAGACAGTGTTGAAATCTTCCAGGTTAGTGTGAAAGTTTTTCTGATGCATGAGAGTTAAAGCCCAAAGAATTGTAATCCCCTCATCTGTCTACATTGCCCAGATATGGCCAGGTAGTCTGGCTAACCTTCTGTCTCTCTCTTCTACCGTTAAATTTAACTTGTATTCTTAGAAAAGAATTTGTGCATTTTGAATACCTTGGTTTCATCATAGGTGACGAACTGACTTCAGAGACTTTGTCATAAACAACCAACCATAGCCAAATCTGCTCGGATAATTGGAGTTAGTCAATTAGACTAAACCTGGATTGGGATTTGACCTCCGTGATAATCGTTAAACCATCTTAACTGTCTGTGGTTTGGATGAGTATTTGAAAGTCTGATGAACACACAGCCAGACCATCCATAATGAAGCCACAATCATACTGTAACATCACATAGCACATCAGCAGTGGGCCCGATATTCCAGCACAGTCTGCAGTGGGATCTGACCTGAAATGAAATGAGAAGTGTGTCAATGTGTGCGGTGAGGATGCGTCACACAGCTGGAATGCTGGGCCTCTCTGTGGATGTTTGCTTCTACTCAGTGCCCATCTTTTTCTTCGGCTACCAAAACTCAGACAGATTTACACACATATACACATCCGAGTCCTTTTTAGACTCTAAACATTGACCTTGAGGATGAGCTCTTCCTCATCCACTGTGGTTTTATGTCTGAAAAGGAACAGTTTAAGAGCTCTGGTATTGCAGTTTGTTGTGAGGACATAACCAAGCAGACTTGTGACCACCAAGGTCAATGGGTCCTGTTGTAAACACCATTGAAACATAATCCATTGGCAGCTATTTTCACTTAATACTAAATACCTTATATGTAAAGTAGGTAACTATGCTACATCCTCGCACTCCCCTATTTAAGTTTCTTTCATTGTAATTCCCTTTTCATGGGGTGGCAGTCACTTGTTTTGTCATGGATACTGAACTCAATTCCCCATTTCACTTTTTAACAGCCTGTGCACACCCAATTATTGTTCTCATGCAATCATTAAGTCACCATTCATTAGTGCATTGTTCCTCATTTAACTGTATTTTAGTAGATGATGATAGTCACCAATTTATCACACAATACTCTTCTTTTTGTTTAGGTATTTCTTAGGGATTTTCTCTTTGTTTTCTCCTTGCCCTCTTGCCTCTTCCCATCATTCCCTCAGGGAGAACAGCTTTTTTAATAATGCAGCACACCATCCTGCTGGCCTTCCTCTCTCTTGAAGCTCTTGTGTCGATTAGGCGGCAGAATCTGGAGCCAAGCCAAGAGTCTATTCACTGCATCACTGCACAACAAGAGAGCCTGGGAGAGAGGGAAAGCGCTAGAGAGATGGAAAAGACATGGTGACATGGCCAGTGAGGTAGTGATGGACATGAGTGCAATGGGCTTGAAGAATTAATAGAGAGTGATATATAGAGATGAGGGAGGCTTTTATCACTGCTTAGTCACCACTGTAGCCTTATCTACATAATCAACATAACAAACTGGATTAACAGGACTCTTCATAGAAGCTCTGTACTTACTCAGTTAGCAGTGTGGGAACTGAACTAGTCTGTCAGTGCAAGTTATAGTTTTGCTTTGCCTGCATTCTTTTGTTCACTTGTCTGTTAAACTCTGTATTGTAGACTAATCGTTGTATGTCCAGTGAGGGGATCTCTTTCAGAGGCAAGTGCTTTGGACATCTGAGTCCATTTCTGGCTGCATTTGACTGTTACATAGCTGATTGTTCACCTATGTGATCATGTAGTTCTCTTTGTGATGCTCAGTCTGAGTCCCCTTTAAAAAGCAGCATCCCAGTTTGTGTGTGTGTGCACTCTACTGCAGCACTTTATGCTCTGCAGCTCTTGGAGCAACATGGATGCCTGAGCATACACACATTTGTTGCCATCTGCAACCTGTTGTTGATCCACTCTGAAAAACGGAGAATGTTGTCTAGTTCCCACACAGGCACACAAAAGGATTCACATGGATAAACACACAATCACACACAGATGTCTTACATCTTATAAACCAAATGGTTCATCTCCGAAACTCACTGTTGGTGTAATGAAACTCTCACTTCATGTTGTATGTTCTGTTCTCTTCACAGCAAAAAACCCCCAACAATGACTGGCGCTTCACACAGGGACAGAGACCTGGACCTAGTGGGTGAGTAAACTGACACACTCCCACACACTGATAAAATGCCCAGTAATGTCAAGGACATGTGGTTGTGCTGCACCAGGCAGTTGCATTGTAAAGACAGAGCAGTGAAGGATGAGAAATAAAACAGAGGGAGCGGTGGTGAGCGCTGTAGCCATAAGAACTCCTACACCACAAATTTTATAGTACTGATGCCATAGAAATCATAAAGCAACCACCATTGATGGTTTCATTTTGTTGCATGATCCTGCTCAGTGAATTCAGATTCCTGGATGAGCATCTCTGCCTCTTTCCAGGCTGCTTTATAAAATGGCTGCTGCAGCTTCCACCCCCTTCCCCTCCTCTCTGCACTCTCTGAGCCTGTGCACCATCACTCAGTACTACTGATGAGAAACAGGGGGCCAGAGCTAGTGGGGGGATGGGAGAGCACATGCATCCCTCCTGCTCTCCCTTCATTTTCTGGTTCTACTGACTGAAGTAAAATTTTTGTCAGTGGCTTGCAGGTTATTGACAATAGATGAATTGCAGCTGTGTGCTTTCACGAGCGCGTGTTGCTAAAATGGAGTGCGTGTGATAACAGTTTTCACAACAGTGATTGCACAACACCCTCTTTGAGTCGAGGCTTCTCTGTTACATACCAGCTGGGGCAAAAGGTTCTGTTGAGCCAAATCAGGAAAATGTTGGACACAGAAGCACAAGCCACCAAAATATGTGAATACCACTGGGATTGTGGAAACATTGGACGTAATTCCCGTTAGTGGTCAAGAAAAAGAAAACTAACTTCCCATCTCTGGCATTTTAAATGGATATGACAGAGACAACATCTTTTCCACTCAGAGCTAGAGCACAATATTTTGGTATTTTCCTTGTTTTTCTTTTTTCAACATTTAGTCAAGTACACAATGGTTCTGTCAGACTGTATAACTTGTTGTGTTTTTAGTCCCCACATGCCATACGGTACACACATACGATGGACGCCGAAGAGTGGGACAAGGTACTAATTTAGAAGTAGACACTGTACGGTCCCTTTCTGTCCTTAGCAGCTGATCAGTTTTGTCACGGTTCGGCTGATAAGGCCAGAGAGAGGCTACACTCTGTCAGGTAGTGCACTACAGTCAAGTGCTGTACTGTGTGTAGATGTACCTAACCCATAGCTTCTGTTAGTCTCCCTGAAAGTTTGATGGGGTTTGTTGATCAATGTGCATAGGCCACAATGCCTGCTGTGGCGTAGAAAGGACTGTGGCACTTTTAAGTTTGTGTGCAGTGTTTTGTAGATTTGCTATGCCTTGTATGTGTGCTCCACATATAGTCATTAGAGTCTGAGAGCTCGTGTTTTCTCTCCTTCTAGGGGACCGGCTTACCATACAGTGTTGCCTTTGATGTATGTCTGTGATGGTTGTAGCTCAACATCACCACATGTGGCTTTTTTAAATGTGATGTCACCTGGATGATGGCAAGATAGAGACAGTGAACACTGTTGCCTCATACGTAACTGATTGCTTTATAATGTCTGTTAGAGGTTGAACAGTTCCTCATTGGAGTAACAGCATGTGACTGGCTATATGGGCTCAAATTAAGTTTAAAGTTAATGTCTAGAAGGCTCTGTGCCAAACAACAAGGAGAATTTTCCTTAGAGATTAAAGAGAGATAAACTGTGTCATGTAAGACTGCAGCAGAAGAAACAAGTAATCAACCGAGCACATTCCTCTGGACCACATTTCCTAATTTTGCCTACAAGAAGCAATAATCCTGACCACAGGAAGCACTTGACACTACGTTAAGTACATAGATGTCAATTTAGCACAAATGAAGCATTCCCTTTATCTGACCTGTTGTGAAGACACACAAAATGGCTGCCCTGGCTTTACTGACCGTGCTTTTACCCGTTTCTCATTGGCTGGCTGGCACAGGAAGTACATGTTTGTCTTCATCAGTCTGTCTCTGGCACAGAGTTTTGGCAGTGTGATCTGGCAGCCTGCTCCTCAACAGAGCCCAGTTTTTGTGATAGAATTCCTTGTTACTTCTTCCATTGTTGTGTTCTTTACTTTCTCTGTTCCCTTGAGCAGACCAATTTGTCCAGTGCCTTTTATTTTGTTGGTTTTAAATAGAAAGGAGAGTGTTCCTCTTAACAGTCCGTATATATAACACATTGTCTATCTACATAAAGTCTTGCTTTCCTTGTTTTAGCCTTTGTTAGCAGTAGGTCTTCATTGTGCTCATGTTCCTTGATGGGTCTTGTCGGGTCCCTGTAGAGCTTTACACGCCACTAGAACATTTTGCTTATGTCTGTGGGCAAATGATCCTATACTAAGTGTTTATTTGGGTGGTTTGTTTTTACTCAAAACAATGTATCGTTCATACACACAGTTCAGGAAGTTGAGAGAGTTTCTAGATTCATATGAGACACTTCCATTTATTAGTGTCTTTTCTGACAGTGTACCACTAGCATGACTAAAACCACCATCTAAGAAAACCTTGGGCTGGAGGTTTGTTAGCACTTTGGGAACAGGAGCAGGGCCAGGATTCAAACATTGTGACAGAGTTGTCAAGTGTGTTGTTGCTAGTTGTGAAGCATGTGTTGGTGTCACAAGGGGAAGAATGGAAATAAGTAGGTGAGCGTAATAGACTGCAGGTCTGTTTTGTCCTTTGTTGCCCCCAGATGCAAATTGCAGACTTTAAATAAATAAGCCTTTGAAGGGGAGGTTTGCCCAGATGGAAATGTTTGGTGCTCACTTAGCCGAGCGCTGCATGTGTGACTATGCAGGCAGCTATTTCCTTTAAAGGTGGAATCATTAAATATTTATCAGATTTACTACACAGTGCAATGCTCATGGTCATACCGGAGAGTGTGAATGTGCAAATGCGCTTGCAGCTGTGTGTCTGTGTGCAGACACATTTGTACATGCCTGAAGAGAGTGTGTTTGACTGAGACACACCCTGTCTTGTCAACTACATATCCTTCTTGTTATCCTTGCTGAGTTCTCCTCAGGCCTGTGTACTCTACCATCAGCTGCTTTGCCTTTACATCCTAAACCACTGTCAAATCAGTGAGCTAAACACAAGCATCCACACACTGTAGAGGACAAATCACCAGATATTTACAGTTTTTCTTTACTCGTTTTTGCTGCAGGGCAACTGGAGGACCTGAGGTTGCCATGGGAACAGGCCCCTGGCCCCAGCCCCCTACTGAAGCTGAGCAGCTCCAGGCGCTGATGGCTGCAGCCAACGGTGAGTCCTATACCTTGTCATCTTGCTCCTCCATCTTGTCTTTTCTAAATCCACTTCTGTCTGTTAATCAGCTCTGCCAGTGTGTGTGGGCAGTGGTGCTTTATTTAGATTCCTATTTGGGCAACTAGTCAGACTCTCTCATTGATAAAACTCTGTCCACACTGATGTTTCCATGTAGCGGCCGTGTCCTGCTACAGATATGAACCCTGTGACATTACATGGTCCTGTAATGTGATCCTCCTATAGACAAACACAATGGGCCTCAATCACAAACAGTGCGTACCCACAAATCTGTGCATACGACCAATGTACACACAAATCCGGGAGTTTTCTTACCTAAAATTAGTTTCTACTCTGCGAACAAATGTAGAACTGCCTCAGACCATATCTGAACAGTGTTAACTGGTAGTCACCTGGTTAATCTGCAGCCTATTAAAAGGCACACCAGATCCATAAATGATTCAAATGTAACTCCAAGCCAGTGTTAAGATGGCATATGGAGCCTTGCTGGAAGATGACGCAGCCTGTTCCTTCAGAAGAGAGCGCCTCTCCAGAGGCTGACATAATGTATTTGCTGAGAGTGACGTATGGCTAATCAGCCATTCCAGACAGGTTTTGCTGCAGTTATACAATTACCTGGAACAACAGGTTAGTCATCAGACACACTGTCCGGCTTTTCTCTCGCAACTTCACTACTTGTTCCAGGAGCCACCTCTAAGCAAATGTATTTCCATATATAGAGAAATGGGGCGTGACAGTATGCTAATTACAAACCACATCCTTTTTAGAATGATTCTGATTTACTAACATATGCACAGTGGTAAAATTGGCCAGTGCCCACATCATGAAACATGGTCATTTTGTGTGCAAGGTGAGAAAGTTTGAGCCCATATTAGTGAATGAGGCCCAGTGTGCTTAACTTAATAAGATTCAATAACCATAACAATATGATGCGTCTTCTTGGCGCACTCATGAACAGAGATGGTAACCTGTGACTCCAGTTGTTTCACTGATTAGACCTCAGATGTGCTGACACCTGACTCCAGCTTGTTGATGTTACTGGCCAGGGGGTTCACAAATGGGATGGCCATTTTCTATATTAACAGTATTTTCAGCACTCTCCATACAGAGACCAAAACCAGCAATAAATCGCCTCTGCTCAGTTCTGGATTAGCTTATTCCTCTGTGCCACCGAACTCCATTACTAAAAACACAGCACACGAACACTTTGCTGCACTGGGTGACATGTTTCCTCATTACGAAACACAAGACCTTAACATCTGTTAAAAATATCCAGAGGTCTTGTGCATGTGCAGTTGACTTTGGCCTACTTCAGCTGCTGTAAAAAAGTCTGAGCCTTTGGACCAACTTTTTAAACAGATATTAGGGTTCTGTGTTTCATAACAAAGAAGCTTGTCACACAGTAGAGTAGAGGCAAATTCTTGTTGGTTTTGTTCTCTAGAAATATTATTACTATAGAAAATGAGCGGCCTTATCCTTTAATATGAATACAACTCTTTGTATTATTAGCTGATTCCCATGGTGTCCAGAGGGTGAATGTAGCCACCTGCAGGTCTTGATACAAACAGTATTACAGTTGATGTGTTGCATTCAATAACATGACTGAGACCTGTTTCCATTGTACACACTGATCACATGCACAGTGTTTTTTAATAAGCAGGAGGCCACATACACACTTTACATACAACCTTCAGGCTCCTGCACATCTAAATATTCTCATATTCCACACCCCACCTCCTCCTTGTGTCCCGATACACATACAGTTGGCTTTGAACGCAACACTGAATATAGGCAAACATGGAAATGGTGGCGAAAAACATTTATTTCCAAACAGACTCAAGTCATTGTTTCCACGTTTATTTTAATCACTGACACATCATAGCTCCACACACACCCTCCCCCTTCTTGGACACGACAATGGATGCCGGGTGGAATTTTTCCATTGGCGTGAAGGGAGAGACAAGGCTGTGTGATAACCTACTTGTCGGCACAAAGTTAGTGCAATCAGGAAGGACAGAACAAACAGTGCATGTGGTTAAACACTGAAGGTTGTCTGTCCATTAATGTCACTGTTTGTAGATTTTCTCCTGTGTTAAAGTCAATCAGTTAAAGACCTGTGTGAGAACAGAAAGACGATTAAAAAAGGTTTTCAGTATAATCAGTGTGGCTCGTTGGAAGCCAGTGCAGTTAGCAGGACAGTTTTTATGTGCATGTTTCTATAGGCTGAGAGGACTTACAGGAGCAGGGAGGGAGAGTGTGTGTGTCTGGCTCTGCAATGCAGGCGCTGTAGGAGCATCATGAGCTGTCAGCTTCGTCACGCGCACACAGACTCACGGCATGCATGATAGAAAACCTGAAACACACAGGAGAATGCTGGGGAGGCAGTTTCATCATTCCTGTTAAACATCTGTTACACAATCAGCCATTTTGTAACGAACTCTTCTGCCAGTTTTATTTCTTCTACTAAATGTTTTCTCCCTTTAATCAAACACCTCATCCTTTAGAAGTTTGTAAAGTAACAGTTTTAATCTCCTTTTATGCCCTGTTGTCCTTTCATCACTGTCATACTTACTAAAAGCTTCAGGATCTTCTCTAACACGTTTCATCCCTCTCTCTTCTCCCTCTTCACCCCTCATTCCCCCACTCTGTCTCTCTTCTCCCTAGAAGTGAGCGAGGCTACGGCCACCCTGGGACCCGGCACCATGGGCCTCAGCACGCGCTACAGCCCCCAGTTCACTCTGCAGCACGTGCCTGACTACCGCCAGAATGTCTACATCCCTGGCAGCACAGCCACCCTCACCTCCAACCCCCAGCAGCAGCAGGCCACGGCCCAGCAGGCCACCCAGCAGGCCCTGCCCCCGCCCCAGGCCTCGGCCCAGCCCGAGCCCCCCAAGGCCGCCCAGACCCCTGCCTCCAAGAAGAAGTCCACCAAGAAGGAGAAGAAGTAGGTGCAGATGGAGAGAGAGGTGGAAGAACGATGGACCCGGCCTGCTCTGATGAGAAGTTCAACCCCCCACCCCCTCCCAATAGGTATCTTACTGCTCTGTTATTCCTTATGCTAGCCACAGTCAAAATAACGACAGCAGGTCACACGGATGATGCTGATGGTTCTTTGAACGGATCTCTAGAAGAATCTGAATGTGTTGGAGGCTGCAGCTGGTGCTGATAACCTGTGCTGTACTGAAGGTCTAGTATTACTTATCCAACCTTTGTTGGTAGATATGTTTGGCAGGGGATGAGGGGTTACTCTGATTTTATTTAGTTTTTCCTTTATTTCTTTTTTTTCCTAGTAAAATGAAAGAGTCAGTGTAAGTAACCTTGCTGGGATGACAAGGCTGATGTATTCAGAGATGTACCGCTAAGGTCTTTCATGTTGGATTTTTTTTTTCCCGGAGGAGGAAAGTTACTGTAAAGTACGCTAGCTGCCATCCATTAAATTCCTATATAGGGCCAGCCTTGCGGCATTGTAAAGGCTATAAGGCTGCTGTCTGACAGGTATTACAAACTCTTCTGCATGCTCTTTAAGGTTCAGACCACATATAATATAGTTTAGAGTTGCAAACTATGCATTGCAAAAGCAAAGAGGAGGATGTCCTGAGTCTATCATCCTCCCTCCAAGCAGGTCAATAGAATGCACAGGTAGCATTTACTTGACACACAGTGAAAAATACTTTGTAATCATAGTTTAAAAGATAAGATTTTAACCTCCTGATATTTTGTATGACCTGAGCATGCGTCCAGAGGCAGAGGAAGGGCTGGCAGTGGCAGGGGAGTGTGTCAGAGAGTCATGAGCCATGCTGTCTATGCAGGTGGTAGAGCAGCAGGGACTGGCTTGTGGCCCAACACCTCCAGCTGGGTGCCAGCATGTCCTGCACCCTCCGCTGCCCCCCCTCCACACCCAGCTCCCGTCCTTCCCTCATTCACTGCCCCGCATTGAGACTCAAACAAAGAGAAATGCACAGTTTGTATTCTGAAGATAAGATGACGTAGGGGTAGTAATCACTTCAGTCTTTAGAGAAACACATAGATGTGGTAAACCTACGTGCTTTGGTGTTTCTAGACACTTTGCAGAGCTCTCTGGTCTTGACAGAGTATTTTTCTTCTCCCTATCCTGAAGTGTTGAAGAAACCTGTTGATGTAACACAGTAACATGGTTTTATTTCTTTGGGAGATAATGATTCAGTAGCATAAAAGAATTGTCTGTATAAGATATGAAGTCTTTACTGTCCACCTTTCCAGATACAGCTGTAGGAGAAAACGGCAGCTTGCATGCTGGGTCAGGGGGAACGGAGGGGTTGTGGTGAGGGGTACAAAGCCTGAGGTGGCACCTTTACATGAACCAGGGGGTGGGAATCAACCTTGGCTCCACCCACTGAATGTACAGAAGAGCCACTGTTGACCCACCCACCTCCTTAACCTTCTCTACTGCACTGATGGAGGTAGAGATCCACAGAGCCAAGCACAGCTGCCCCTGTTGGCAGGGAGATGCCACTCCACCACTAAAATCAATGGGAAACCTCAGCCTCCCTACCCGTCACCTCTCCCCTCCACTCCCCAGCCCCTTGAGGCTCTTCCCCACTGTAAATAAACACAAGTCCTGTCAATGGTATGAGCCAGCTGTTTGTATAGCAGGGACCACGTCCAACATTTTCAAAATAAAGTCCCTCTACACAGGGCGTGGCTTGCTACTGGAATGTGTTGCATTTTGTTTTTCAAGAAAAATAAGAAAACCAGAGTTTGAAAAAAAAATCAATGAATAAAAATCTGAGATGTTCTTCAGCAGTTTGTGTTGCAATGTAGTAACTAAGCACCATGAAAGCCAACTAACTCTTCAGTGTAAATAAATGAATTAAAGCTAACTTTAGATAAGTAAAGTGAAACACGTAGACTAGTTAACTTGTGATATGTGTTGCGCATATTTTTGTGTTCATTTTCTCACTATCTTTTATCATCCTGTAAAGAAACAAACAAAAAAAAATCTGGAAATGTTTCTATCCTCCTGTAACCTCTTAATGTTCTTTTGCAGTGATTTTATCTTGTGCATTTGTGAAAGAATGCCACTCATTCTCTTTCTGTCCATATGAACAAATGATTATAAATATTATATATGTGTATGTCTGTTCCGCTGCTGAATTAATACTACTCTATCCTGCTGTATTATCTTTCTTATCAAATGCTTAGCCCCCACGCTATAATCCTGTGTTACTCTTATTTTTATGCTAATATTTATATTGCCGTTTTATTTTCTCTTGGACACTGACATTTCAAATAAAAAGATTCTGAAATCATAAAAACAAAACTGGCTCTGTCATTTGTTTGTATTACAGTTTTTCTATTTATTATTTATTACAGTGTATTTATACTAAAATAGGTAGCTGCTTTCTAGTAAGTTAACTTTCTTTATCGTGCACACTGCTGAAACTCACCAGAGGCAGGTGTTAGCGGTGGGGCTTCTGGTCAGTGTGCGCAGGACTGCAGCGGTCTCAGTGAAGCTTTGCTCCTGCCTCTGGTCCATCTCATGTGTGGCTGTGAGGCAGATGAGTCAGTGTTGTTTCAAATTAAAATACACTTTGCATTTGTAGAGTATTTTATATAACTTTCATTTTGATCATGAAAACTTGGTGAAAGAAGCAAGTTTCTTGTATTATTTGTGCAGATATTATGCAGCTCATGCAGGTATGTCATTGGCACAGCAATCTGCCTTCAAACCTTTTGCTCAAGCAGTTACCGAAAGGTCTAAACAGAAACAAAAAAAAAAAACACCCCCATCTTGCACAATACTCGACCTTAGATTTTGTGACATCTGCCATGTCTCAATATAGATAACAGACTAATAACAGAGCATTAGGGAAGAGTAAAACATGTCTATGTTTATGTAAGTTGTTCTGCTCAAACTCCCTGTCTCCTCGTCTAGAATCAGACTCGAGTTCTTTATCTTTCCTCTCAAGGCCTGGAGAGAACATGGGAGCCTGCTCAGGCTCTTTGTGCCTTTCACAAGGTCTTACACAATAACATACATCCCTATAAATAGCCCATGGGAGACATCACTAAGCAAAATAAAAGGCTTACCGCTGCAGATGTTGGGGGATGGAAGAAAGGACCGAGGAGCTGAAGGAATGGAGATGATGTGGCTGATGCTCATGAATCCATTTAAAGGCCAGCTGATAGAGGAGCTCTGGAATGGAAAGATTAAACAAGAAAAACATCAGCAGACCTGAATAAAGAGGTTTTCATTCATTTAAAACCCCCACCTGATCATTTTCAAACTAAATATTTATTTTGGTTTTAAACATTCCTTCTTTTAGATCAAATAAGATCTCAGCAATCCGGTTAATCACACAGCAGCGTTCCCACATCAAACCCTGCAGATTCACATACCCAAAATGGCCGCCTCCTCTCACTGCGTTATGTGGTTGCTATGGCAACTGTCATCCCCTGTGCTGGATGCTTTTCTCTGGTCTCCACATCTTCATTAGGAATCTATGCAGTGTCCATTATTGGCTCTGCTCAGGGCCTGGCCGAGCTGAATGACCTGCAGGGAGACAAACGTATTCAGCCATTAGTCAAACCTGGCAACAGGGAAAGACGGGAGGAGGAAACGTGGTTAAGCTGAGCGAAGAATATCCCACTCACAGACACAAGTGGTGCGTCAGATGTAATAACACACTGTGGGTTTGTCCCAGTATGATTCACTGGAGAGCAGCAATACGAGCCTGTGTTTGAGAGCTTTTCTCATTCCGGGCAACAATCAAAGGAAAGTGAAGCATTACTCATGCACACTGTGTACTAGGCTTTATAATGGCCCTAGAAATTACTTTGTCAGCTGATGTTTGTCATCCTGTGTTTCACACAGACTCCTGCTGTCCTCACTGTCCCACTGTGGCATCCACTTCCTGCCAGGGAGACCGGACAGAATGAACATGCCTTTCTTTTACGGCCCCCCTTTACATGCC